AGTAAAAGTGATTCAGAATTAACTAGTTCAGGACAATTAACTTTGCCCTGCACAGACTATGACCAGAGAGCATTTCAAGTGAAGGACCATTTGCTCAGATCTATAAGCCTGCCTAGTCTAGAACAGGAAACTTGCAGACAAAAGGAGGATTACTTTTCCTTTCTCTTGCTCATTCAAAAGTGTCTGGAGTTCTCAACTATATGGGGGATCTCTAGAAGTTGTGAGGGATCCCGTATGGATAGGCAGTAGCATTTACAGAAAGGCCTTATCATTTCTGGCTGCTTTCCATGCTCATCCCTTCACTTTGGGAATCATGTGGATGTGGACTTTCTGCCTCCACCTGTCAATCTCGGGGACTTTTAGGGTGCTTGGAGAAAGACATATGCTGAAACAAGGGTTATTTTTTTCAGAAAAATCCTTAGATAGATAGTTTCATAGTTGGATGTACCATAGCTTGAAAGGTCAGAAAAAAAAGAGTTTTCCAATTCTGCTGCATTCTTTTGTGTATCTTGGGCAGATTTGACTACTATTTCTTTTTTAATCACTCTTTTCCACCAGTGGTAGGGACAGTCTGAATTAAAAGCTGAAGGGATTCAACATGTAACTGTGTTTCAGAAGTGTTCTTTTTAAATTATATAGTAAACTCTTTGTCCTGTTCAGATGGCAAAGAAAAAGAAGTGGTTTTCACATACAGTACGAAGACCTCTGCGCTGACGCTGGAAAATTTAGCCCTGAGTGTTGATGCTGACTGGAAGATTCGCATCAACTGAAAGGAGAAGCATCTTCTTCAGAGAACTCATTGAGAGTCTGGGGGAAATAAGTTGGGAGCACTTGAAATGTTCACTTGAATCCAAGCAAATCAAGGAACGTATTTCCCACCCACACCCCCAAACTAACATTTCCTTCAATTTCTCTTATAAAGCACTAATTTAAACTTGGATAGCTCTAATATTCCACAAAAGCAATAGGTCTAGGATTCTATCTTTGGGGAAAAAAAAGAGAAGTACTGTCTTCTCTAGGCTAGCTTCAGTTAGGAATTAAGTCTTGCCTTCACTTGCACCGAAAAATCATAAATTGATGGGGTGAGACTGTGGCTCGTTGGCATGGGGTTTAATGTAAGTATTTGGAAACAGAGGCTGGAGTATTTAGGAAGAGCACATCTGTGCCAGTTCGACAAGCAGCATCAGTAGATGTGCCAGGCGCAGAGGTTATCCTCAGAGTTCTGACTGCAACCTGCCCTGTGAAAACGAACACTGAAGGAGTCAGCCGGCATGCTTACAGACTGTTCCCATTTCCGCTCCTTCTGACAATGCAAAATTAGGCAGTCTGTACGGGAAAGTAAAGAGCAGGCTAGCCAAACAGTGCAGTCACTGAAGGTAAGGTTGGAGTAGGTTGTGCATTAGTAACAGACAGTCACGTGGAAGCACAGCAGTCTGTCCTGTAGCTGGCTTGGAAACTGGTATTTGGGCTTTGAAAAGGCATAGGTCTATGTAAGCGTAATACTGGCTTAGGGTAGCAGCTGGACCCGCGTGGAAACATGTTATTCCATGTTAGTGCTCGAAAAAGTCTTCTGTTAAGAAAGAATTGGCATTTTGCATGTTTGTTGTTATTTGAAGCCAGCCCAACTCTGTTTATGGAGAGCTCTGCTTCTCCACATCTTCCAACTCTTGCCAAGGTTTGGCTTCCTTTATATGTATTTTAGTAATTTCTTGGTCAGTTTCTAGTATCTGGCTGAAATTTGAGCTTGGTATTCATTACGCAAATTTTTAATATTAAAATTTAATTTCTGCCTTTAGCCATCCCACTTCATGCTTATTCACCCATTCTCTTACAATTCACCCTAATGCTGCCTTTCCTCCTTTTCCGACTATCTCTGCAAGCATAGCTGGTGTCTCCTGATGCTTTCTTCCCTTTCAAAACTAGAAGACATCCTGAGTCTCACATCCCCTGCATCCAGCTTATTCCCACAGCCCTTTCCATATCGGGCATCTTTTTCGCAGGCCACCATTGCTCCACGGCTTGCGTTGTTTGCCCTTTCCATTTGCTACACTCGTCAACTGTATTATTTTAAAACCAGTTCTGCTTTGAGTCAAACCTCAGTGTGCCATCAGTTGGGTTTTGTGGATATAAAAGGGCAAAATTTATTTAATTTCTTTTATCAAGATAAGGGAGTGTTTTCTAAAAACATCAGTAAATTGACTCTTCAGGAACAGAGAAGGATGGTCACCGTTTCTGCCAACTAAAGGTAACGTAACAGTCCATGTTGTTCCCTACTTTCCTTACTAAGTCCTCCCTATGCTTGGTCAGTTATTCCCACCTGCTGCTGTTTGTCCTGTGCAGGGCAGATTTCTGGGAATAGCAAGTGTGGGAGCAAGCTATGACTACTCCACTCCTGACTACCAAGTGCAGTTTGTTCCCCACCAGACCCTTAGGTTCCTTCTTTCTTATTCTGCAGAGCTGTTTGTCAGGGCCTTTTAACAGGCAGTGTGAGCCTCCACTCCAGGAACTGGCAGCCTCAATATTGCTGTGCTTAATGCAGACAAGTTAATCCAGGTAGAATAGACCTTTTGTATCTGTGAGAAGAGAGAGACAGACCCTATTTTTGAGAGAGACCCTATTTTTCTATCAGCTTCTAAGCTTTAATTCACAATTGCTTCTTCTGTTTAAGCACAGCAGTGCTTCTGACAGGATAGAATTGTTGTCTGGAGCATTTTGATGTAATGTTTTCACTGGTATTTATGAAGCTGGAAAGTAAGTGAAATAAAGTAACAATGAAGTGAGTTACATGCCTTATTCCTTCCAACCTTCTTTTTGCTGTTGAGGATCACTACTAAGTATTCTTCCAAGGGTATGTGGTTAAAGTGGATGAGCAGCTTTTATACTCTGGCCCTCAGTATGCTATCTGCGCTACAGTAACTACTCATGGGTCAAATATTCAGTGGTATGAAGAGCCTAACTTCAATGGACTTCGATAGGAATTAGTTGCTGAAAATCTTCACAATTGTGTCTTTAGATCTGAGGTAATGAATTTCAGAGAGCATCATTTACATTGGTATTTGTAGTAACTCACATACTTTTCCACATATTTATGCCATAAATGAATAAATTTATAGCATATCTTAAAAAAAAAAAAGTAATCAAATTCAATTGATGAAAACAACTGGAGATAAAACTTCATGAAAATGCAATAGATTATCATCCATGTGTTTCACTTTTGCTCTGTCTGAGCAGGTCAGGTATTGGGGTACTTCTGCTTGCAAGAAGTTCCATTGCAAAAGGTGGTTTAATTCCTGAGGGACAAAGGGGTTTATTTTGCTGTGCGTAGCAGACAGCACATCCATTCTTCTCTGTTGTAAATTGTGTTTCTTTAAAAACGCCATTTGTCTTTTACTATCAACTGCTGTTTCTCACCAGAAAAAAAACCCCACCAAACCCTATATTTACATAATAAATCCATCTGTCCAGTAAAAAAATAAGAAAAGGAGAAGCTGTTTTTTGAACAGGTATAACCATAAATTACTCCTGAACCTCAACATTGGGTGAGGGGTGAGGAGGATGTGTCCACCCGCCATTCCCTTGCAGGCACTAACTGAACCATTCACTGTAGCAGCAGGTCATACCCTGACACTCGCTGACCCATGGAAAAAAAAAAAAAACAACCCACACCCCACATTGTTAATCCTTCACTTAATCCTCCCCAGCAGCCCACCAGGAGTTTGTCAAATACCACACCTGTGCTACTGGCATTCTTCCAGAAACAGAGCTCTGTGTACAAGACACAGGAGTCGAATTTTCGTACTGGGCAAGAAGGGAGAGTATGAAAGAAAGAACATACACAGGGGCTCCAAAGTGAGCATTTTTGCTGAAGCTGGGCAGCGAGAGACCCTCGCACCTCACTTGCATTGCTCTTGAAATATCCTGGAAAGAGATGGCTCTGCCAGGCTGTCCTGCAAAGTAACGTCAAATATGAGGCCTGCAATCCTTGCACCTAAATGTAACGACGAAGTCATCAAGTCTGCATCTGGACAACCCATCCTGAAGCAATTACATTCCTGTTTCTTGAATCTGTCCTGTCGGTGCAGGAAGGCTTGCATTCACGATAAAAACACAAGGATTTAGGCCACCATTAGAAGACTGAGGATTAATACTCCTAGAGGTTCATCAAGCTTGCCAACTATATTACCTTCTTTAGAAGTTCCCCGAGTGGAGTTTTTTTAATGAGCTGTAGTGCTTGCCCATTGTACCGTTGGTTTGAAATGTGCAAACCAAGCAAACGGCTGAGAAAGAAGAAAGAATCGGTGCTTTGGAAAACACCACAGTACTAGGGCGGAAGGTCAGCAGTGTGTACGTGAGCCAGAGTCTAGTGTCATTATGCAAAAATAACACCGATGTCATCGTGTGATTTAAGACTTCACAGTCAAAAAAAAAAAAAAAAAATTCAAGGTGTTAAAGGGCTTTTCTTAGCACATAAACAATGTCAACTTTTAAAGAACTGGGTTATAGAGAAGAGCAACATGTTTAGATTTTCTCTCACAGAGACTGAGTCTGTCCCCTATCCCACTGCTGTGTGACAAGTGCGACAACTCCTCTGAGACTGGTATATCCCAGCACACTCCGAACGGCTGCGCCCCTTATAAACTCTTCTGCCCCTATATGAAAAGGTGCCTTTTACAAGGAAGGTAGCTATCACGGGGTGAATCTTACTGACTTCAGGAGTGTCAGAACTACGTTATTAGCTGGCAGTACTTCCTCAGTACGTTCCCGAACAAGTGGGAGCTTGGCTTCCAGTTTCACTCTTCTCTCTGCTTAAGGAAAAGACGAGCTGCCTGCATACAGAGCCTGTCCCAGGAACATGCCTGACCTCGGCATGAGCTGCGCAGAAGAGTGACACCGTCTCGCTAACCCCCTCCCTCGCACTTTCCCCCTCTCCCTCTTTGCCTGTGGTTATTTTTAGATTTCACGGGTGAAAGCTTGTCTCTTCTGGGCGCTCACACGCACAGGGCAGGCAGACGCATGCTGTAGACACTACAACTCGGGCACGGGAGTTAGCCAACAGATTGTCTTCCGCCACATCAAGGAACACATTCCTATTTCTTATGACAAGATACTGCCCTTTGAAAGGATGCACAGCGTGCTCAACCACATGGAATTCTGTTGCTCGCAGATTTGACCAGGAGACTTTCAACGGATAGAAAAAGCGGTTTACACAGCAGCTTCCTCTTTTGTCGAATTTCCTTCCAGCCTGCAAGATCTTGCTTTCTTTCACCATTTGCTTTAAGCCCGATTCCCATGCCGTCCGCCGTAAATGCAGCGGTGGCTCAGCAGACAGCTGCTGGGTCAGTTCCCAGCCCCGCTATCAGCACTACAACCGAAGGTGCGGGTGGGGGCACAGGGGGGATTTATTCTGCCATTATAAGTCGCAACCAGCCCATTATCAGAGTAAAGGAGAAGACCTATGAAGAGCTTCACAAGAAGTGTCTGGAGAAGAACATCCTATATGAAGATCCTGATTTCCCACCGAATGACTCCTCCCTCTTCTATAGCCAGAAAATCCCCATCAAGTTCGAATGGAAAAGACCACGTGTAAGTAATATGGTTGCTGAGAGCCTTTTACTTTCTGTAGATTGAAGTATTCACCCTGAGCTCACATTATTGCAGAAAGGGAGGGAAGGGGGTCCGGCAAATATGCTGGAAGTGTATTTCCTTAGACCTCTCCTGGAAGATAAGTAGCCAGGGCTGTAAAAGCTTAAAAAGTGTGTATATGATGACAAAATACTATAAACCAAAATGGAACAAATAAAGAGATGGAATGACATACGTAGAAAAAGAAATAGGGAATTTAATTTTCTTCTTGCATGGTTTTCTAGGGATTTTCTTAACAGAAGCTACCAAAGAAAAATTCTCAAAGTTACTGGGTTTCCTGTGGCTTAGTTTTGTTAATGCTACCTTATTTCACTTAAAACTTTACTCCTGTTTTCCTAATCTGTGAAAATAAAAGGACAGGTTATGCTCTTTAACATACTTTCATTCAGTTGTTTGTTCCCAACACTGCTTAGCTGACTTGCAGAGGTTGTTTAGCATATCCACTTACACAAGTGTGGATGTGGTAATCACTTACGTGGACTGATTCCTGCCTTCTAATCCCACTTATTTTTCCTATCTTCTGGGCATTCCCCAGCCAAACTTCTTCTTCTTTCCCACTGGAAAGAAAACTAATTCCTCAAGTCCCATTTTAGTCCACATCCTACTGCAAGAGGAGTTATCCACTTTCCCTGTCATTCCTGTTGGGCGGCTGCTGCCCTCCAGCAAGGCAACCCCTGGGATGCTGCCTGGGCCCCCATGGTTCCGTATCTGGCAGCAAGGACATGGTTCTGAGGAGCTTTGCCAACTGCCTCTCTCTCAGCCACCTCTTCTACTGCCATACTTCTCCAACACCAAAATCTGTGCTGCAATGGCAAAGTTAGTGGTGATAGATAAATATAGCCACAGGGACATAACTAAATAGCAAAAGCCCAGGAACTCTTGTGGGTAGCTGTTACAGATGCAGAGGAAGGCCATGTGCCGCTGTCACAACAATGGTGTGAGCAACACGGGGGGAGCAACATGGCTGCCCCCATGTTGTGCCCTGTTGTATGTGCTCTGTCATTCCTTCATCACTGAAACAGGACGGTTTGGACTGGAAGGGACCTCAAAGCCCATCTAGTTCCAACCCCCCTGCCATGGGCAGGGACACCTTCCACTAGACCAGGTTGCTCAAAGCCTCATCCAGCCTGGCCTTGAACACTTCCAGGGATGGGGCATCCACCGCTTCTCTGGGCAACCTGTCCCAGTGCCTCACCACCCTCTCTGTGAAGAACTTCTTCCTGATATCTAATCTAAACCTCCCCACTTTCAATTTAAACCCGTTACCCCTTGTCCTGTCACTACAGGCCCTTGTAAAAAGTCCCCCCCAGCTTCCTTGTAGCCCCTTCAGGTACTGGAAGGGGCTATAAGGTCTCCCCGGAGCCGTCTCTTCTCCAGGCTGAACAAGCCCAACTCTCTCAGCCTGTCCCCATAGCAGAGGTGCTCCAGCCCTCTGAGCATCTTCGTGGCCTCCTCTGGACTCACTCCAACTGGTCAATATCCTTCTGATGTTGAAGGCTCCACAGCTGGACACAGTACTCCAGGTCCCGAGGGAATATCCTAACACTGGCTTCACTCTAGATCCTTTCCCTGATTTCTGTATCATATTGTATACTCCACATACCCCCACTAATCACTTTGTATTTGCCAAGATCTCATTTAAAACAGAGAACTGGCAACCTGTTCCTGACTCTGGCTTTCTGAGTCACCTTAGTCATGCCACCTAACCAATTTGTCTCCAAGCTCCCCTACCACATGAGATCAATGTATGAGAATATATGTGAAAGATTAATGCTGGCCTTAAATGAGCATTATTTGTGATGATATGAATCCACATGGGATTGTTGAGTGCAAGTTTTTCCAGAAGCTCCAAGTATTATTTGGCCAATCACAGAATTGATCTAAAGACTACGTGTTTGCCCGTTACCAACGCTATAACCAAGCAGTGATGACGGTGCCATTCCTTGGATGAACAGTGCTGCTTCGCTGTAGCCAGTACTGTGCTGACATAGGGAAAGGCTATGAGTCCGCTTTTGCACGTGGGATTTACAAGGACCCCACAGCAACTCAGCCACGTGGATGACACTCTCCCAATCCCCAGTTTTGAGCTGAGGTGCCCACTGAGCCTAACATGGTCAGCTCCCCCTCCCACGTGTGGGCTGCTGGGATGTGGGCTCACTCCACTTCCCCTGGCTCTGACTTGACCTTTTCCCAGGGCTCAAGCAGTTCATTACTGAGGTGCTGAGAGGTGTCCAGCATCCCAGCTCCACAGCTACCCCTTGCTCTCATGTATCTGGCCCTACAGACTTCTCTTTGCAGTCGGTGCTACCCAGAGGTCAGGTCTTCCTCCACCACCTCCCGAAATGATTGGCCTCTGCTGCTGCGGGGGCAGAGAGGGCACGAGGACTGGTCTTGTGCCCTACCGTCAGAAGGGCGGCTGCCACACAGGGCAGCTGTGAGCCTTGGCACGGGGGCGTCGAGAAGGCCCCTGTAATTCTACCCAGCTAGCGACTGCCGTACCATGCCATGGATGCACACCTTATACTCAATTTGGGCAAAAGCCAAGTGGCAGCCCTGAAAGTTTCCCCAAGTAACGACTGCACAATCCATCCAGTGTTTCTGTTCAGAGTATAGATGAGTGTGGCTTAGGTATATAGAGGGGAAATAAAACCCCCCTCAATTAATGCTTAACATTAAATCATTTGCTTACCCGCAGAAGGTAAAAGAAGCCTGAAGGGCCATTCTTGCCTGCACCGGGTTATAGCCAGCTCAGTGACTGGCTGTGCTCAGCTTTCTTGGTGGCCTCGGCCTCCCACACCTATGCTGCCTGAGGTTGCCAGTCTTTGAGAGTTGAGGAAAAGTCTGTACCGTAACAATGCAGAGTACTGAGAGGTCCTTCTACAGTCCTGTTTGGATCTAATGACACTGGGACATTAAGAGGAGGGCTCTGCTGTGACACTGTGCTAACTAATGCACCTTTGTCATTCTCCTTGCTCACAGCCCAAAGGTCACAGCATTAACCGCCAGATTCAATGACTTCCCTATGTTGATCATAGAATCACAGAACGGTTTGGGTTGGAAGGGACCTTAAAGATCATCTAGTTCCAACCCCCCTGCCATGGGCAGGGATCATCTCTATAGCCAAGAAAATCAGCAGGAGGAGCTTTCTTTTCATAACAAATACAAATAAAATCATCGGACTAGTGGATTCTGCTTAGACTGAAAATGAATCAGTCAGGTACAGGTGTGAAGCTGTTTGGATTTAGTAATCACAAAATGTGTGCCTCTGCAGGCTGTACTGCAAAGCAAAGACAGCTTTCAGTGCCACCAAGGCAGGACTTGAAGATGAGGGTGATCCAACTCTAAAACTTACAGTGTAGACCACTTCAAGGCAGAGCTCTGACATGGTCAGGCACTAAGAGGCCAAGGGAGAAGCACGAGGCTACAAACTGGCTTAGGCAGACCAAAGAAGATGCTTCCTCTACTTACCATGATCAGTTTAGGGAATTTACTTAGAAGGCCATAGTTTAATAGCAGTTTTTAAAGGAATGAATGCTTTCTGCTGCAACAGTATAAGCTGACTGGAAGATTTTTCCTGACACAGAAGAAAAGCTAATGAAAATATAGCAAAGGTCAAATTTCATTTTTAGTTGCAATCTGCCTTTGCACTTTCCAGTGCTCCCTTCCAACAAACTCAGAAGTACCCTCTGCCCAGAAAGCAGCATGCACTACCAATGGTTTTTTCCTAGGATTCTCCATTTCCTTTGCTGTCCCTTTGACTCTTTATAATGAAATTACAGTCCATACTGAATCAATCCAGTGAACACAAATGCCCTTTGGATAGTACCAACACAGTCTGGGCACTCGGATCAGGAGTCAGTTTCTAGATGAATCATTGCATCAGTGGCATGCAGCCTATTGCGATTCTCTGTGATAACTTGACCCAAGAGATGTAGCTCAGCCTTGCCCAGCCAGGAAGTCTGGAAGGACAGAGCTGCCACCTGCATCTTGAACAACACGTCATCTCACTCTGCTGACAGTACTTTTCCACAGCCTTGCGAGACCCTGAAAACCTTTCTCTGTAACTTCATCTGTACTCAGCACAACTAGCACAGCTGGAGATGAGCTAGAGTGATACAATACAGGCTTGTTCAGCCTGGAGAAGAGAAGGCTCCGGGGAGACCTTATAGCACCTTCCAGTACCTGAAGGGGCCAACAAGGAAGTTGGGGGGGACTTTTTACAAGGGCCTGTAGTGACAGGACAAGGGGGAATGGGTTTAAATTGAAAGTGGGGAGGTTTAGATTGAATATCAGGAAGAAGTTCTTCACGGAGAGGGTGGTGAGGCACTGGAACAGGTTGCCCAGAGAAGCTGGGGATGCCCCATCCCTGGATGTCTTCAAGGCCAGGCTGGATGAGGCTTTGAGCAACCTGGTCTAGTGGAAGGTGTCCCTGCCCATGGCAGGGGCGTTGGAACTAGATGGTCTTTAAGGTCCCTTCCAACCCAAACCAGTATGTGATTCTATGAATATTAAAAATACATCCAGAGTGTACTAAAAGCACCTGTTCACCATAAAGAAATGCAAGAAAAGCATTTCTGTCATAGCTAATTCTCTCCATATGACAATTGTATGGTTCCCTCCTTTGCATTCCTTTACTAACTGTCCTCCAAAGCCAACAAGCCCAAGGTGCAGTAAATTGCACTGAGGAACAATCATCGCTGTACATTTAATACTTGGAAACACTTAGGCCCCATCAAACTGCCTTCATCTAAAACACAGCATGCTGGATTTTGAGCTTGTTACTTCAACAGGAGCAGGATGAAGCTAAAAATACAGCAATAAAGGTTGAAAGAACACAATCTGAAAACCTGGCATCTCACAGCTAGTTTTCAGGAGAATACCACAGCAATGTGAGGAAGAGTATTTTCAACAAAGCAAGTGGGTGGAGAAAAGCATGAAGGCATCTCAAACAGGTGCCCTGGCAGAAGTGCACCCTGGGACAGCTGACCGAAGCCCAAAATTACAGGACAATCCCTCCATTCCCTCTCTCGAGGAGAATAAAGTGACTGCTGGGGGCAGCCGGAAGCTGGTCTCTCTATCTGGCTATAGGACTAATCCAAATATTTACATCAAAGCAACTCTGCTTATTACTGTGAAGGAGCAGAGAAGTGGGCCCAAGCCAAGTGAAACTACCCGACCTGAAATATGAGTCTGGGAAAATCCAGGGCTACCCTAATGACATGGGAAAAAAGCTTTAAACTGCAGCTGCCTGTACTGCCACACAAGCAATTGTCAGTGGTTTCTTCTTCCTCCTTCCCACTCCAGCCCTGTCATCTTCCAGCAGGCTGGGTTCTTGGACTCTACTTTGTCTTCCTCACCTGTTTGCAGGTGCTCAGGGCAGTGGTCCTCAGGTTGCAATAGCTTTCTTTCCTTTCCTTAGAAAGAGATGAGTCCAAAAGTTAAGCGTCACCTTTTTCTTCTGAATACCAGGCATTTGAGTATGAGAGATGGGATAAAGCAGGGACTTCTGTCTTTTTTTCAAACTGTACCTACTTCTTCCCTTGTCTTTCCTATACCCCATCGTTCTGTCCCGTACAGAAAAGGTTCTCTGTAACCCTGCAATAGTCCCACCTCATTTGCTGGTGGTTCCTACATAGTCTGTCCTCCCCTTCCTACAGCAATTCCTTAATTATTTATGCCTGTACAGCATCTTGTGCCTGTTTTGTACTAGTATAAATACTGACAAACCCAATACCAATGTCCCAAGTGCAGGACAAAAGGCGAGCTTCCTGCCCTCAGAGGCAGATGGTATCTGTACACATTTCTGAACGCATCACTGGCGATTAAATACTGCAACATAAGGAAAAGAATACCGTCCCTTAACCAGCAATTGATTATTCCTGAGGATTAAACATTTGATCCTGGACAAATTTTAAGGAGGAGTATTACTGGGGTTCATTC